AATATCTGACTTAATTTTAATAAATAGCAACTCACACCGTACTAGCCGGTGCGATCATGCGTTTTGCGCAATTCTCCCACAGAACAATTGCCTATTAATGATTTTCACTGCGTTGTGCTTTATTCTGTGCAAAAATAAAAAAAAAAAGTTAAAAATGTCACACACTAGCGCATAAAGCTGAATTTGAAAGCACGAAGGGTAAATATCCTTCCGTGATTCCCGAGATAATAGTTTACCCGCCAAAATTTTTACGAGGCCATAAGTGATACCCGAGAGCGCGGAAACACTGAATTTGAATTTGTAAGGTTGTACGTAGGCAAGGAGTTACTACCCTAAAATTTCAGCTTTGTAGACTTTGTGGTTCCCGAGATAATAATTTACTCGCAAAAAATTTTGTCGGGACCGTAAGAGAAACCCAAGAGTGCGGGAACGCTGAATTTGAATCTGCAAGGTCGTACGTGGGCAAGAAGTTATTACCTTAAAGTTTCAGTTTTCTAGACTTCGTGGATCCGGAGATAGTAGTTTGCCCGTCAAAAATTTTCACGGGACTGTACATGTTACCCGCGGGCAGGAGAAAGCTGAATTTAAATTTTCTGGGTAGCACATGGATGGGGGACATGCCCACAAAATTTCAGCCTCCTAGCTTCCGTGGTTCCCGTGATAATAATTTTACCCGCCCAAACTTTTACGGGGACGTATGTGTTACCTGAATTTAAATTTGCGGGGTCTTTATCGATGTGATAAATTTTAATACCGCAATTTTTAACAAACTTCATAATTTTATCGTGAAAATTACAAAATCCTGATGAATTCAACTTCGTCTTAATAATACCTTGATTTTCCTAAACAGCTCATTCAGTTACAAGCTCTTTTTACTCCTCCCTGTGATAAATTCCGAACTTGCAATTATTATTTTCAGATGCCAATTATTTCCATTTTCGTAATTATTGTTCGCATTGGCCAATTATTATCGTTGACAATCTTTTTAATTATTATTATCACTGTTTTAACTGTTATTATTATCACTATTTTAGTCACT